GGCCTGTCCCTTGTGCGACACCTTTGGCTCATAAGTTATGTCGAATGAACTAAGCTCGATAGCCCATTTGGTAATTCTCCTAGATAGATCGGGCTTAGAGAGCATACCCCGTATAAGATAGTTGGTGAGTACCACAATGCTATAAGATTCAAAATAATCCCGAAGCTTCCTCTTGGCATAGACCAAGGCTAAGATGACTTTTTTTGCTTTACTATATCGTGTCTCCGCATCTGTCATGGTCTTACTTGTGTAGAAGACTGGATATTGCCTCTTCCCTTCCTTTCTAATCAATGTTGCACTTGTCGCTATATTAGAAATTGACAAATACATAATAAGAACCTCCCCGGGTTTTGGAGCGGATAGAATTGGTGGTTCGGCCATGTAACCTTTCAACTGACTAAGGGCCTCCTACTGCTGAGGTCCACATATATCTTTATTCTTAGATCGTATAGCATCGAAGAATGGTTTGCACTTATCTGACAATTGGGATATAAATCGGCTGAGGCTGCGATCCGACCGGTAAGAACCTGCACCTCCCTGCAATTTTTTGGTTCCTGATTCTGGATGAGGGCCTTAGCCTGAGCCGGACTTACCTCTATCCCTCTTTTATTTACTATGTGGCCGAGGAATTGACCTGATGATACCGCGGAGGAGCACTTAGATGGATTCAGCTTCATGTTGTACTTCTTCAAGGTATTGAAAACTTCCTGTAGATGCTTCGGATGATTTTCTTTCTTCACACTTTTAACCACCATGTCATCTATATATGCTTCAACTGTCTTTCCCAACAGATTATCAAAGATCTTGTTGACAAGACGTTGATAAGTAACTCCAGCATTCTTCAGTCTGAAGGGCATGACCCTGTAATAATAAGTCCCCTTTTCTGTAATGAAAGCCGTTTTTTCTTCATCTTCGGGGTTCATAGGAATTTGATTGTATCCCGAGTATGCATCAAGGAATGTCAGCCTCTCGTAGCCAGTGGTAGCATCAACCATCTGATCTATCTTGGGCAGAGGGAAGCTATCTTTAGGGCAGGCTTTGTTAAGGTTGGTATAGTCTACACAAATCCTCCACTTTCCATTCTTCTTCTGTACGACTACCACGTTTGACAGCCACTGTGGATATTGCACTTCTCGAATGAAACCTGCTTGTAACAATTTGCTCACTTCTTCAGCTATAATGTGATTGCGTTCGGGGGCAAACCTTTGGTGTTTCTGCTTAACCGGTTTGAATTCCGGATCCACCTTCAGACTATGGCAGGAAACTAAGGGATCGATCCTTACCATGTCCAAGTGATCCCACGCAAAAGCATCTGCATTGCTCCGGATAACATCAATTAACGCCTCCTTTTCTTCGGACTTGGAGGAAGAGCCTAAATAAGTAACCTTCTGAGGGTCGCCGAGGATAACTTCCACAGCTTCAAGGGTCTCCTCGGTGGGCTTCGCAATTTCCTCTTCCTCCTCTACCTGAAGATACTTGGGCAGAGGGCTCTGTAATTGCTATTTGGGTCCAGTTTTGGAGGCTATACCTGGTTGCTGTTGAGTCGACACCCTCTTTGCTTCAACCTGTATCAACATATAGCATTCTTTCGCTGTGACTTGATCGCCCATAAATTAATCACTTCTTTCCCATCCGGAGATAAACACCGCATCACCTGGTGAAGGGTGGACGGAACTCCTCTTATCCGATGTATCCAGCCTCTTCTCATGATGAGATTATAAGAAGGATGGATCTCTATTAAAACAAAGTTCTCCTTCAGAGTCCTCTTCGCCGTGGTTACGGACAAGTCTATTACTCCAAGGGGATCTACTCTTGTGCCATCGAATCCCATTAACGGGCTGGAGGTAGGTCAAATAGATGATGACGGGATCTCTAGCTACTTAAAGACCGTCTTTGTGATTATGTTGGCGCTACTTCCTGGATCTACCAAAACCCTCCTGATCATATAATTGGCCATTAAAAGACTGATGACCAATGGATCCTCGTGGGGGAGTTGAACTTGGGATAGGTCGACATCTCCAAATCCAATACTGATGCTACCCGAAGCGATAGCATTGACCGATGATATCTTCCTAAACTTGTGGGTTGCCCTCAGTCTGGATCTGCATACCCCCTCAGAGTCTTGATCATCTTCAGACTTGACATGTATTGCATGGATGACTTTAACTTGCGTACCTTCCACCTTGCGGGGATAGACCTCGCGGAGCTTTGCATACTCCTTTGTCATGAGGTAATCCATCAACTCACCTCTGGCGATCATATTCTCCACCTGTCGCCTGAGGGATCTGCAATCATTGGTTGAATGCCCATAATCTCGATGATAAGCGCAATGCTTGCTTTTGTCCCTTTACTCCAGGGGTTGCTTTATTGGCTGCGGAGTTGTGAACTTCGTCTTATTCTTTTGGAAGAGCCGAGCCAAGGTAGTTCGGAGAGGTGTAAATCCTTCCTCTACCATTTGCCTCTTTTCAGGTGCCTGGGTGATCGGCGTTGAGGAACGTTGGCTTTTTTGAATCTTTGGAGTTGGAATTCTTTCTCGAGGCTTGTTTTTAACCGTCACGAGGGTGGCGTGCTGCACTCGGTGGGCTATATTTTCCTCAAGCCGAATGTAGATCTAGGCCATGGCATTGAGAGTCTGCATGTCGGGAGGAGAATACTTGACTAAGGAAGTGTGGAACTTCGTCCCCTGAATTATCGCGAGTTTAAATGTCTCTATAGCAGTTGCAGGATGACAATCCGCTATTTCTGAGGCTTCCATGTTGAATCTTAACAAGAAATCCTGCAATGTTTCCCCCTATTTTTGCCTTACGGTGAAGAGGCTAGCAATGCTCTTCTTTTGCTTCTTATTTCTGCAATACTGTGCCAGGAACATGGTGCATAGAGTTACGTAATCCGGGATGGACTTATGCGGTCTATTCCTGAACCACTCTAGTGCTGCTCATGTCAAACTGGTAGGAAAAACTCTGCACATCCAAGGGTCATTACGATCATCCAAAGCCATCTTTTGAGCGTAATGATCTAGGTGCCAAGAAGGATCCCCCATTCCATCAAACTGGGTGAAAGAAGGCATGGTGAATTTCTTGGGCCTCTCAACTAGATTTATATTGTCAGTGAAATGAGTTTTGACCAAGGAATTTTTATGTTCTCTAGCCATCTCGGCAGGTGTCTGAATCTTCAGGAGTCTTTTCTTATCAAAGGCATCCTGAACACCTGCACCATCTGGGATTCCATTGGACCACACCGTACGTTTATGGCTGGATTCAACTCGCTCATCCTATGTGCGATGAGGGACGTTATCTGAAGCCGCAGCCTCGGATCTTGCCCTCCGTTGTTGCTGAACCTCATTCTGTTGAGCCTCATTGGGTCGTGCCCCCTTAGGTGGAGCCCTATCAGGCGGAAGTCCGGTAATCGGAGGAATATTCTGATTAGGGGGTGCTGCTGTGTCACCCACTGGTGGCGGTGGTGCCAACTGAGCCAGCGCCATGTGCAAAGTGTTATTCTGCTGTTGAAGCAAGGCGATCTGAGCCACGCTTGCTTCGTTTGCCTGACGAAGTACGTCAAACTGGTGTAGAAACTCTTCACGCATCTTCTGCATCAACTCCGTCTGTTGATCTGTTGAAGATCCTTCGTTTGACATTCTGAATGGTAGTTGCAGGATTCACCTGTGAAACAAAAACAAAAGTGGGAATATATTTGCACGCGTTTCCCACAAACGGCGCCAAAGTATAGGTGCAAAATTTCGCCCAACCAATTACGATCGAGAGAAAATAATACAACACACTCAATAAACAATCGGAATAAACAAGAACAGTGTCTATTGAAGAATTGAATTGCTTGTCCCTTTATTGGAGGTCTCAACCTCTATTTATACACAAAAGTTGGCAGAATTATGGTAGGACTCGCGTTGTTTGTCCTCCAATTCTTTCTATATATGACCTTCTTTACAAATAGAGTTCTTTCCATTGTATGATATTTCCTATGTAGAATTTGCTTTGTATAAAAACTTTCCATTCGAGTTGACTCATTTGTTAAATAGGACTGAGCCATATTTAGCTATACTTGAGCCGGATGCGATTTGGTGCAAGTGACTTGACTGATGGATCAAAACTCCAACAGCGGTGATGTTGGGCTGATCGGTACTTTTGTCTGGTTTCGGAGGCCCAACATAAATGAGAATGGGTTAAAACACAACGTAATTTGGGCTTGATCTAGATAGGCTTCTGAGATCTCAAGAATGCAAATTTGTATAATGGTGACGTGTCTCATTCTTATTGGAGGGAAATTTTTCCCTCCACATAACCTACTTATAATTTTTAGGTCGTTGTCTTAATTATATATTTTTTACTAAACTAATAAAAAAATATAATTAAAACATTATAAATGTTGGATGTTCTAATTTCTAATAGTTGGTATAAAGTATTGAAGGGTGTGACTAAGGTAATAAAAAATAAATTAAGTGAAATGAGTACTCTAATTACAGAAAGCATATTTGAAAAGACTGTACACATTACATAAAGAAAGCCCACGACAAAGGATTTTTAAATCTCTTTGGCCATCAAATAGAAAAAACCAAATTTATGGTGGTTCAATTTCACGATTCATAAATGGCAAGCCAAATTCAGATGAGAATACATGTTAGGTGCATCTGCTATTTATATCTAGCTGACAAGTAGTTGAAGAATGCAAGCATGTGGTTGAGTTAATGGCTAACTTATTATACGGTTTTTTATGAGACACAGTTTTGATGGGTGGGCCATATAATACCATTAACTAACAATATGCTGTTCTGTCATTTGAAAATCACTTGCTAAGTTCGGGACCCCAACCCACCTTTTCATTTGTACGGTTTGAAGTTATGTTTTTATTTTTTATTTTTTATTTTTTGTTACGAATGTGTTCGTATTTAAAATTTTCTAGTTAATTAATTATAAAAAGCCTATAATATATACTAATAAGGTATTCCTTACTCTACTCACTCACAGATAGATGGAATAGACCCGACGAGGTTTACAAGCTAGCACTCCCGAGAGGCCCAAGGTTTCCGGACTAGACCATTGAACTGCTACCATGTCCTAGCCTAATACAAATGAATCACAAATTTCAGTAAAATATTCACCACAAATCATTCAATACAATACAATAATTTCTGAAAAAGTACTGAATGGCCGATGAAGCAATAAAGGAGAGCACCAGGAAAACAATAATGTTATTGTGAGTTGAGCTTATATATATATATATATATATATACACACAGTAGTAGGAGAGTGAAGTAGCTAGGTAGTAACTAGCAAGTATGAGTAGAAGAAAATCAGGTGTCTCCAGAGTTCTTAAGCCAATTCAAACAGCAAAAGTAGATGGCGAAGAAAATGTGGTTGTGGGTGAGCCATTGAGTCCTATAAGTCGTGTGTTACATGAACCAGGGTCCAATCTTCACCTCGTAATTACCCTCGGCTGGAAATCAAAAGTCCACCATGACGTCTTGAAATCCAATCTCATGCCTGATCTCCTTAAGCACCGTCGTTTATCTAGTTTGCAGGTATTAATTAGTAGGGCATATATACATAATTAATGACTACTTAAATAAATATACAGATTTACTAATTTTCATAAATTACTCAAGTTCATGAATTAATTAATTACATTGGATGTTCAATTTTTTTTTTTTCATACTAATCTAGAAAGCATATATGCAATGCAGGTTGGGAACAAAGAAAATGGTGAAGAAATTAGATGGGTTCAAACAGATGTGGATGTGGACGACCATTTCATAGTCCCAGACTTGGACCACAAAATGGAATCGCCAAATAAGTTCGTTGAGGACTACATCTCCAACCTCAGTAACACCAGGTTTGACATGTCGAAACCTATGTGGGACTTCCACCACCTCAACGTCAAGACCTCTGATGCCGAGGCGGTTAGCATCCTTCGAGTCCACCACTCCATCGGTGACGGCATGTCAATGATGTCTCTGCTACTTGCTTGTAGTCGAAAAGCCTCTGATCCCAATGCTTTGCCAACCATTCCAGTAACTAAGAGATCCAACGTCACTCACTCTCGTGGATTGTTGTCTGTTTTCAACATGATTTGGAGCAATTTAATAGCTATAATTGCATACTTTTTGAAGGATACAGAAACACCTCTGAAAGGTCCACTGGGCGTCGGGTCGAATCCTCGACGTTTCGTTCACCGGATACTTAGCTTAGATGATATCAAGTTGGTGAAAAATAGCATTAACACTGTAAGTGTAATGATTTATATTATATATATTACAAATTGTTGTCATACGTGTAATGAGATCATTTTTTTTTTGGCTTTTTGGTTTCACAGACAATTAATGATGTCGTGGTTGGAGTCACACAGGCTGCTTTGTCCCGATATCTAAATAGGAGATACGGTGAGCCAAGTTTCATTTTTGAGAGGAAAGTTTCCGACCATGGGGTTAATGACCCATAGGCCCTATGAGATAATTTTTATTTATTTATTTATAAGGTGGTTTAATTTTATTATATGACATTACAGGTGAAGGTAAGAGCGACCCAAAAAAGAAAAATTATCTTCCAAAGGACATTCGTTTTAGAGCTTTAGTTTTCTTCAACATAAGACGGTCCGCAAAGATCCATGTGAGTACTTCTTTATATTTAATATTTACCTTTAACATTAAGTGAGTTGTGAGCCCACAATATTATTATCATAATTAATTCTCACAATTCAAATTAAATACAGGATTTGGTTGATATGATGGAGAAGGGTAAAGATGGCAGATGGGGAAACAAGACTGGTTATGTCCTCCTCCCTTTAAGTATTGCATTTCAAGATGACCCATTAGATTATGTTCGTGAAGCTAAGGTTGTTATGGATAGTAAGAAAGCTTCGGTTGAACCAAATTATGCATATTTTGTGGCCAAGTTTGTTAGCAAGTTCTTTGGCAGTAAGGTAATTATACATCATCATATATACCATAAACACACTTACATACTGTTAATTTACTCGTATGATATTAAGCATTACTCTCCTGTATAAAACCATTAAGCCCACTCTTGTACATTTTACTCTCCTGTATATATACAACTTGCTTGAATTTATGAGAAAAGAAAAAAAAAAAATTGATTTAGGTGCCCAATTCATTACTTCTCTTATATATATATATATATATATATATTAATTGTCTGGTAAATAACACTCCCTTAATTACATCCCATTGTTGGGTTCAAACTCTCACCTCCTTTTGAGAAGAGAGGTTATGTTACCATAGTCGATAGGAAATAAATATATCTGTTTTTTCAAATATATATATATATATATATATCAACAATTATGAAATGCTTATGATTTTTTATTTTGATTTTTTTATATATAATTAAGTGCTTATCAACTTAATTAATACTTCCTTCCATGATAATCAGGCGGCCGGCGCTCTCTCTCGCAGAGTTTTCTCTATTGCGACGATGTGGTTCTCAAATGTGGCTGGTCCTCGAGAAGAAATCACTTTGTGCGGGCATCCACTAGCATACATTGCCCCTAGTTGTTATGGCCAATCAAGTGTAATTATTTTTACCTTACATATGGGAGCAAGGAATCAACCACTCGAATTTGAAATTAGATTTTCTCCTATTTGAAATCCAAGAGACACATTTGCTGCTTCTAAGCATGACATTAATGAATTACAAACTACATGATTTCTATATACAAACACATGCCCACAATTCATTCATATAATTTTTTATTCTCTTCATCCCAAAATAGTTGTCTCCTTTGGTGAGTTAAAGTTTTCAAAACAGACGATTATTTTAGAATAGAGAGAGTACTAAATAGAAATGTGTCGCAACCTGTTAACAAATAAAATATTAAATATTTATTGGTCTGAGTCCTATGTTGTTAGAACTTTCAAAGTACCCAACAATTTCTCTTACATAGTTCTTCTTATAACACTCACCTTATCCTTTCAGTTAGGCAGTTTTGTATAGTTATACAACTATTCAAAAATATTTTTCTTCTTATTAATTGATTTGAATACAAAATTTGGTAAAAAAATTAAGTTCATAAATAAAATGAAGTTTATTTTGAAAATGTTTTTAGAGTAATGCTTTTTCATCACAATAGTTTTGAACTCTCCACATATAATCAATGAATTAAAAGATATATTAAAAATTTTATTTTACTTTTTACCTACTTTAAAAAATTGGTGATTAAATGCGAACAACTTATATTTCTTTTTATGAGAAAGCTTTCTTAAGGGCATTATCACATACATCGCAAAAGAGAATTTTGATGCCGCCATTAAAATTTCAATAGATTTGCAGTGTATGAATTAGTTGTGATGTATCACTCCTTGTCAAGCTGACGGTATTAAATTATCTCGCAGGCACTGCTGATTCACGCCATGAGTTATGCTGACAAACTGACTTTTATACTATCCGTTGATGAAGAAACCATTCCTGATCCACACCAGTTATGTGATGATCTAGAAGAATCACTCAATCTCATGAAGAATGCTGTCTTTGAAGATCGTGTCAAGAATGCCTAGAGTATATATACTGAATGGGAGCTGTTATTCACGCTCCACTTTTATCCTCGGACGCTCAATGGATTTTTATGACTTTGTCCCCTTTTTTTCAACTCTTTCAATCTCCTTAGCTTGTTCTGATTCCTCTTTTCGTCCCTTGAGTTTATGATTTTTTATTTCTATCCTCACAAATTTTCTCCAATGTGAAGAACAATAAGAACAAAAGAATCGAACGACACAGAGAGAAGCTAACCGATGGTATAGAACTGAACAAAAGAATCGAATAACAGACACGGATAGTTTGGTATCTGTGTAAATGAACACACCCCCATTATGATGTTGAATAATAAACTTGATTTTAGTATTTAGTATTTTTAAGTATTTTTATATCCATGATGCATATGTGAATTTATCATATATGTTAGTGGGTAGCAAATTCTCTTAGTGGGAGTTAAGGTTATGTAAAATCAAGAGTCATGAGAGTTGAACCAAATAAATACTATGTTAGTGGGAGTTATGCCTATTGAAGATTATGTTAGTGGGAGAAATGAGAGTTATAGACATTTAAATGTAATTCATAGATATGTGATTTCAAGGCCTATATAATCATGTACTGTAGCAATTTTATTAAGAAATAAGTGAAATAATATATTTCTTCCTCCATTTCTCTTTCAAATTATATAGAGTTGCATTTGTTTGTATAGCCCACTATTTTAAACAAAGTGGTATCAGAGCAAAGTCAGAAAGTGGTATTAGAGAAATAGCCAACAAAGTGGTATCAGAGCCAGGTTTCATGTTCAGAGCCTAGATGATTCTGAAGGGACGAAGTTAATTCTAGAAGGTTCTACATTTTGAGAAAAACATATTTCTCCTTGATGATAATGAAGGGGAGAAAATGTATTTTCTTAGTGAGAAGATGATGTTCTTTAATTACAAGAGAATGAAAATTATCATGACTTCATACCTCAAAGCATGTGATTTGTGGGATGTTGTTGGAGAAGAGTCAAAGAATGGCATGCCCAACACGATTCGTGTGAAGAAAGAAAGAAGACATTGGTACTGTTGCAAAAGGCAATACATCAAGAAATTTGGGAGTATTTTGGAGAGTCCAAAACTCCAAGTTGTGTTTAGAAGATACTCGAGATCGACCATCGTTTCCAATCATAATGGTGAATCACTACCTATAGAGTATTGGGTACAATGCTTTGAGGATGATGAGTTTACAAAAGATGATTATAAAAGTCTTGATGACAAGTTATGGAGAATGAAGAGGTGTATCATGCAAATGAAGTTGAAGATTTTGGAGATTCAAAAGTTGAAGGAGAATTTGAAATTGTGAATGAGGAAGAGGTAAGAAAAGGTGTTAAAGAAGAAATTGAAAAAGTGGAGGAGAATGAAGTGAAAATAGAAGATTTAGAAGAAGTGCTAAAAAAGAGGCAAAAGTTCAAGTTGGTGAGTTAAAATTTTCAGGTATGGTTACAAATTCCATCTTGAAAGAAGTCATATTTGGCTTATTTGATGAAATTATTATTTCTTCATATTCATCAAATAATGTTTATTTTGTGGAGAATGATCTACTTCTCTTAAAGAAAATTGTTCCAATTAATTATGAGATTGAAACTAAAGGCAAGAAGAATTTTTTGAATTATTTTTTACAAGATAGTTCGGAGAATTTGGTAACTGACACAGGTTGGGTGAATATGGAGTTATTATTTTATTCCAAAGAAGAAATACAGAAAAAGTTTAAGAAGTTTCAAGAATTCAAGAAGAGAGAAAACGAATGGTGTGCCCATGTGAAGAAGATAAATGTTGATCATAAGAGAGCATTATTCGAGCATTTGAAGAAGTTTCACAAGCCCTACACATCAATAGAAATAACCAAGAAGATTGAAGCTATTGAAAGAGGTGGAATTGAAGATCAACCATCGAACCTTTGATCAATCCCCCAAGATTAATAAGATTCTCAAGTCACAAAAATCAAGTTTAAAGGGGGGTGTTGAATAATAAACTTGATTTTAGTATTTTCAAGTATTTTTATATCCATAACGCATGTGTGAATTTATCATATATGTTAGTGGGTAGTAAATTGTCTTAGTGGAAGTTAAGGTTATGTAAAATCAAGAATCATGAGAGTTGAACCTAGTAAATACTATGTTAGTGGGAGTTATGCCTATTGAAGATTATGTTGGTAGGAGAAATGAGAGTTATGGGTATTTATATGTAATTCATAGATATGTGATTTTAAGGCCTATATAATCATGTACTCTAGCAATTTATTAAGAGATAAGTGAAATAATATATTTCTTCCTCCAATTCTCTTTCAAATTAAATGGAGTTGCATTTGTTTGTATAGTCCATTATTTTCAACAAAGTGGTATCAGAGCAAAGCCAGAAAGTGGTATTAGAGAAATAGCTAACATATGATTTATGAACTCAAAATAAAAAATAATAAAATAACTTTTAATATATATAAAGATAGAGATTTGGGATAAGAGTTGTGATTCGGCATATGTACCTTTTGTGAAGAGAATGAAGGAGTACTCATTTGCGAGTACTCTTTGTTGTTTTAAGGATTTGGGAGTTTCATTGTAGTTTACAAGTCCGTTTTGATATTGTTTCATTGGTTTAAAAGTAAATATTATGTAATCTAAGGAAGTAAAAATTTGACAATGAAGTGGATGATTTTGATGTTGTATCAGTCCTTCAATCTGAACCTGTAATTCTAATTTGCGTGGGCTAAATGAAATATTGTGGACGAGAGGTATAGGATTGAGATTTGACAGAAAAAGAGATATCTATAGATGATAGAAATCATTCGGCTCTATAAATAAGTTTAAAAATCATTTTCCATGCTGATATATATATATTTTAATTTATAATTATGGATTGTATGCATGGCTATCTGTGTGTGTATAATAAAGAGGATTGATTGGTACAAGTACAACTTAGGTTGCATTAACCGCTTCTTCCCCCCTCATTCACAATAATTTTGTACTTGTGATTTTATTCATTAGGTAATTGAATTTTATTTTCTAAAAGGATAAAGTGTAAAAAAAAAATAAACACCCATATTGTTTTAAATTTGGACAAATAACACCCTTAACATTTGTTTTGGGTATATAACTCCATTAAGTTTTAAAAAAAGAACAAATAAAGACATAATTTATAAAATCTGTCAGAAAACCTCATTTAAGTAGTCATGTGCGTTGCACATTCCTATATTTAGTACAAAAATCCCTAAAGTGCCCTTTTTGTCTCCCAAAAATGTACTTGCCCCATTTTTCAATATAAACACCATTTCCCTCATAATGTCGTTTTTTGTTCGGGTACTTTTGCCATTTTAAATTTATTTTGTTTTTCACCTTTTTTTTTTCAAACACAAAAGGGTACTTTAGTCATTTAGACGCTCTACCAACAAAAGGTCTTTAGTCGCCCCAAAATTAAATACTATGGACTTTTATGAACCTATGAGGGTTATACACTCTATTTGCATACCATAGGAGTGTTTATTGCTCACAACCCTTTCTAAAATAAAACAGATGCAATTGGACCCGAGAGAAAAAAACATCTAACCTATGAATTGTGTAGTGGTTTTGCTAATTAATTTTTTTACATCATCTCTTGTGGCAGAAGAGCTAGCGAGTTTTTTGGCATGCTCTACTTGCTTTTTAAATGTATATGCGTACACAAAATAGACATTGGGCTTGAATTAGGAAGGGTTTTCAATGGTATATGCGTGCACAAAAGTGGTATCTAAAAGGGTAGTTTGAGCACGAATAAACTGAACATGTTGTTTAATGTCGCACTCCACATCATAATTTTAAGAATATATATATATATATATATATATATATATATATATATATATATTTTTGAATATTCGTGACTTAGACTCCATGATTTTGTAAGTTGTGCTCCAAAAATTCATGTAGTTGTAATTTTCTCTTATGCTCCGTTTGATAGAAAGGAAGTAAGATGGTTCAAGGGAAAATAGGAAGGAATAAACAAACTTCTTTCGTTTGGTAGCAAGAGAGGACGCAATGAGAGAAGAGAAGAAATGGTGAATGAATCATCCTTCCTCCTTCATAAATTTTAATCCATCCAAATATGGACAGAAGACACGAAGGAAAAAAGGCAAGGTTATTATAAAGGTTTTTAAATTACAAAATTTTTCTTATAATTAGCACTCTCTCTTCTCTTCTCTCATAACAGACAAAAATAATGTATTATCACATTCTCCTCTCTTCAATCCAATCAAACAAACAAAAAAAAAAAAAAAAAAATGGAAGGACACAATTTATTCTCCAAGAATATCTCATTCATCTCTTCTTCTTTCACTTTTATCCAATTTTCTTCCACCCTACCAAACGGGGCATTAATAAAATGATGTCCAGTTTTCTCATCCCAAAAATGTATGCACATCAACCTCTGCTCAATAACTCAACAAGTGGCCTGATTGATTTGGCTTATTTTTAATTGTTGCGGAGTAATACTCGTAAAAGGTCTTCCTCATGAGAAGAGCCATAAGCTCTTATATATATATATATATATATATATATATATATTTAACTTAGATGTATTAAATAATTGAATTAGTTTTTCACATATGTCAAAAAAAACTGTTTCATCCAATGGTTAAATAGGGATAACTCATAACTCTTCTCATGAGAGGGACTTATTCGGAACATTACTCATTGTTGCGGGTCTGGACCCTATTTGTTTTTTTTTTTTTTTTTTACTTAAAGTGTAAGCTTGTATATATGAGAAGAAAGAATGTACATGGAGTCCCAATTAAGGGAGAAGAAACATCAAAAGAGATACCACAAACATGGTACACCAAAACAAATAACCTAACATGCACTAGTAGCATGGTACAGCCAAAACAATTTACTAACATGCACCAATAGTACTTAAGACAGTCCATGTGTCGAAGGAGCTGCAGTGTGTACTGCAGAGTAAACAACAACTTCCTCATTCTAAAAGGATCAGCAAGGTTTAACCATGTAATACCCCTAATTTTAGAAGGATAGCCCTGGTATTTTAATTTATTGTTTTAATTGAATTTTTAATTATTTAATTTGTTTAGTTGCTTGTGTGTTGGACTTAATTGATTATTTGATTGTTAATCGATTACATGCTTGTTTATCTTGTGTTGTTTAAATTACTTGTGGATTAGTTTATTTAAATAGTGTTTTATTTTCTTTTATTATTATGGTTTTAATGGAATTATTTTAATTGGTTATTTAAATTGTATTTTATTTTTTTAACTTAATTATATTCTAGCGTTTTAATTATTTATGTGGCTTTGTGATTTAAATGTAATTTATCTGCTTCATTATTAGGGTTTTATGTTATACATTGTAGTTGGGTTAGAGCCAACTTCTTGTTGGTTTAGGATTTAATGTAGTATTTAGATTAAAACCTATAAATACATAAGCATACGTCTGCCAAGGGTTACAAAACAAACCCTATTCAGCCTATTCACGAATACTGTGAAACGGAGAGTTACAGAGAGGAATACAGAGAGCAACAAAGAGGGAACTTTGAGGGTTTAATAGAGAGGCTCAAGGAGGAAGGAGTGGATTGCTTCTGGGTTAGCCAAGAGTAACAGAGGCGTGGAACAAAGTTGGAAGTTCAGAGACGTGGATTAGAGTTTCAAATCTTAAACTCAAAGGCAAG